GCGACGACGACGATGTTGATGATGATGACGAGTCTGATGCTGATGATGATGCTGATGCTGATGATGACGATGATGATCAAGTTGCTGCTGCTGATGATGATGATGACGGCGACGGCGACGATGATGTTGATGACGACGATGATGACGATGGCGCCGGCGATGGCGACGACGCTGATGTTGCCGTGATGTTGTTGATGATGATGTCGATGATGACGATGATGATGATGATGTTGTTGACAACCATGCGGATGCGGATGCTGATGATGGTGATGGTGATGGTGGTGATGTTGGTGATTGGGACGATGATGCAGATGATGATAATGATGCTGATGCTGATGACGATGCTGATGACGATGCTGATGCTGCTGATGCTGCTGCAGCTGATGATGATGCCGATGCTGATGCTGCTGATGATGCTGATGATGATACTGATGGTGATGATGTTGAGCACGATGATGATACTATTGTTTTGACAATTGCGGTTAGGTGCTTAATGATGGCTGTGCTGAGTGCTGCTGTCGATGATGAGGTTCATGATGCTGCTTATGATGATGCTGATGATGATTATAGCATTGATCATGGTGAACCTGCTGCTGCTGATGCTGCTGCAGCTGATGAAGATGCTGAGGCTGATTATGATGATGATGGTGATGGTGATGATGACGACGATGCTGATGCTGATGCTGATGATGATACTGCTGCTGATGATGATAATGCTGATGCTGCTGATGATGATGCTGATGATGATCATGATGATGGTGATTGTGGTGATGATGATGATTTTGATGAGGTTGATTAGGATTACTATTATGGTGATGGAGATGTGGTGGTTGATGATGACGGTGCTCAGTGCTGCTGATGATGATGCTGATGCTGATGATGATGAGAAGGACGATGACGATGCTGATGATGCTGCTGATGATGATGTTAAAAATCTTGCTGATGCTACTGTTGCTGCTGATGATGCTGATGATTATCATGATGAGGAGAAGATGGTTCTGCTGATGAGAAGGACGACGATGATGATGATGCTGATGATGCAGATGATGATGTTGACGATGTTGTTGATGATGATGCTGATGCTGCTGTTGCTGCTGATGATTGTGATGATGACGACGATGATGAGGAGGAGGAGGAAGAGGAGGAGGAGGAGGAGTAATAGGAGGACGAGGAGGAGGAGGCGGAGGAGGAGGAGGTTGGAGGATGGGGAGGCGGAATCGGAGGATGGATGAGGATGACTCATTGGAAACTTGGACTGCCATCAGTTGCTGATGCTGCCGAGGAACACGACCAAGACCCAAGAATGACATGGAAAGTGTGTCGGCCGATGTGGCCAGACTGATTTTCACTGCGCCACGGCCCCGAGAGGCATTATTGAGCGCCCGCTAGGTGTATGGAAAAAAGCAAGATTGTGCAGCCTGGGATGATGGACGGGAGCAAGACAGCCCAGGAGGATTCGTACTAGGGTAAAATGGGGAGTTGCGTCAGTTGGCCGGCATTCACGCTGCATGTTTTGCCCCAAAAAACAAATCCTGCAACAATGTCCAGGAGGAGGAGGAGCAGGAGGATGATGATACGATGATGCTGATGATGCTGCTGCTGATGATGATGACGATGATCATGATGATGATGATACTGATGATCATGATGATGATCATGGTATGGTGAGGATGAGGATAAGGATGACGATGATGATGATACTGATTATGGTGCTGATGATGATGGTGCTGATGTTGTTGAATCTGATGATGGTGGTGGCGATACTGATGAGGATACTGATGATGATTCTGATAATTATGATGATGCTGATGATGCTGATGATGTTGATGATACCGATCATGATGATGCTGATGATGACAATGACGATGATGATGGTGATGCTGCTGATGACCATGATGATGATGTTGGTTATGATGATACTGGTGATGTTACTGATGATGATACTGATGATGATGATGCTGATGATGATGATGATGATGATGCTGCAGATGATGATGATGATGATGATGCTGATGATGATGATGATGATGATGATGCTGATGCTGATGCTGATGCTGATGATGATGCTGACGAGGAGGATGAAAAGGATGGGGAGCATGATGCTTATGATGCTGATGCTGATGATGATGCTGCTGATGATGATTATGCTGCTGCTGCTGATGATACTGATGATGATGCTGATGATGATGACGATGGTGATGATGTTGATGATGAGTCTGCTGATGATGATGGTGACGACGATGATGATGAGGATCATGACGATGATGATGTTGCTTATGATGCTGATGCTGATGATGATGATGATGACGACGATTATGATGATGATGCTGATGATGCTGATGATGACGATGATGATGATGACGATCATGTTGATGATGCTGATGATAATGATGATGATGATGATGATGATGATGATGATGCTGGTAATGATGATGATGATGATGATGATGATGATGATGATGATGATGATGGTGATGATGATCAGGATGATGATGATGCTGATGATGATGCTGATGCTGATGCTGATGCTGATGATGATGATGATGATGATGATGATGATGATGATGATGATGATGCTGACGGTGATGGTGACGACGATGATGGTGATGGTGAGTAGGATGAGAAGGAGGAGGAGGACAAGGAGGAGGACGATGATGATGATGATGATGATGATGATGATGATGATGATGATGATGATGATGATGCTGATGCTGATGCTGATGCTGATGATGATGATGATGATGATGATGATGATGATGATGATGAGGAGGAGAGGAGGAGGAGGAGGAGGAGGAGGAGGAGGAGGAGGAAGAGGAGGAGGAGGAGGGAGGATGAGGAGGATGAGGAGGAGTATGAGGAGGAGGATGAGGAGGAGGATGAGGAGGAGGAGGAGGAAGAGGTGGAGGAGGGACAGGAATAGCAGCAGGAGGT